ACCTAGTTGTATGAATCTTATTGTGGCTGGCTGGCCCAGTAGCTAACCCGTCGGTCTGGAGTTGTAAGACTCTCTGATCGCGGGTTCTAACCCCCACCGGTGATGTGGTTTATTGATGTTTAGATTAAATATTTAAATTCATTTAAGATTTTATACAAAATATTTCCACGTAAATCTATGGTAATGGGGTGAAAAAATGAATCCATGGTAATGGGGGTGGTAAACTTATGATAATGGGGTGGAAAATTTATGGTAATGGGGTGGAAAATAAATTCATGATAATGGGGTGGAAATTTATGGTAATGGGGTGGAAAATAAATCCATGATAATGGAGTGGAAAATTTATGGTAATGGGATGGAAAATAAATCCATGATAATGGGGGTGGAAAATTTATGGTAACGGGGTGGAAAATAAATCCATGGTGATTGGGCTCCATACCTTGCAGACAGTGAGGAACAAAATCTTCATGGCACAGACCATGAGGCTCAGGGGATGAGCATCCAGTATTCCAGTGTTGACGCCCCCGGGGTGAACACTGTTGGCTGTCACCCCTGTGGGTGGAGACTTTCAATAAGGTCAGCGGTGGAAAAATAAACACAAATGGGGTATAATGCGTTTCTTTATTGACTACATTTCGCAAAGAAGAGGCGAAATATTCACAAACACTGATCTCTGGCCGAAGGAGACTCGAACCTACGAACCTTGGAACAAGGTACGCAGTGCTGTACCGACCGTACCACACTGAACCTTGGGGCCCAGCTCACGCTAGACGTTTTGATCCAAGGCAGCCAGCTTTCAGGCAGGTGGCTTACAGCTTTTCATCTCATCCCCTGCATGCATCGACCGACTAGAGATTTTTGCAAAGCTTAGAATTCACAAGAACAGGCGAAATATTCACAAACACTGATCTCTGGCAGGAGGAAACTCGATCCTACGAACCTTGGATGTCGATAAAGCACTGCGTACCTTGTTCCAAGGTTCGTAGGTTCGAGTCTCCTTCGGCCAGAGATCAGTGTTTGTGAATATTTCGCCTGTTCTTGCAAATTCTAAGCATCAGAATCTTGTCCTGTTCTAATGCTATATTTATGTTGTTTTAATCATAGTTCGAGACTTTTACCAGTTTGACCGTAATAAACTTTATCGCAAATTTTACAAGGAATCTTATTTGAGATAAAGTTTATTACGGTCAAACTGGTAAAAATCTCGAACTAAGATTAAAACAACATAAATATAGCATTAGAACTGGACAAGATTCCAATGCTCTATTTATTCATGTAAGAGATTTTAACCATCCAATTGATTTTCAAAAAGTTGAGAAAGTAGTATCAAGCAAGTCCATGGTCGACAGGAATATAATTGAATCTTGTTTCATAAAAAGCAGTTTTGACAATAATATTAATATTTCCTTTGGTTTATATAAATTAGATCCATTTATAATTAATAGAATTTGGGAACAATTTAATAATACATTAAACAAATAATAAATCTTAATTCTTGGGTAGAGTACTATGGATGGGCAAATATTTTGTTAGTCGGATGAATTGCGAAGGACTTGCCTAGTATGGCCAACAAACCTTCTGCAGTGTTCCTCCTTTCTTATGAGTCGGGTGTCGTCGCGCGACAGATGTTTCTTTGTTGTGGGATGTGATGGTGAGGTGTAGTCTTGACCCTTTGTATTGTCTTTATAGTTCCTTGATAATGTTAGAAGTCACGAAATCGCTTGGAATTTCACTATTCTATCACAGCGGTTGTTTGCATATTCTGATATCACCTGTTTACTGTGATCTTATTGTAAATATATATATATATATATATATATATATATATATATATATATATATATATATATATATATATATATATATTTATTAGAAAACGTTTCGGTCCTGGGACCTTGATCACTTCTCCCAAAATCTCTCTCTCTCTCCCCTACACTCTTCTCTTCTCCAGGTGCATAAACGCTTATTATGACCCACTTTTTGCATCTGACCCTTATTTTATTCCACAAAATCCTTGAATTTACACATTTATATTCTCCCTTCTCCTTCCATAACTGATCCTTCAACATTATTGCTACCTCTTCCTTAGCTCTAACTCTCTCAGAGACTATATATATATATATATATATATATATATATATAATATATATATATATATATATATATATATATATATAATATATATATATATATATATAATATATATATATATATATATATATATATATATATATATGTCGTGCCGAATAGGCAGAACTTGCGATCTTGGCTTAAATAGCAACGCTCATCTTGCCATATAGGACAAGTGAAAATTTGTGTATGCAATAAGTTCGCCAAAATCATTCTGAACCTAACGAAAAAAATATATTTCACTGTGTTTGTTTAGTATTAAATTATTGTAAACAAATGTAAAATATATTTAGTTGGGTTAGGCTAAAATAAATTGTTCTTGTTATAATAAGGTTAGGTAAGTTTTCTAAGTTTCTTTTGGTGCAAAATTATAAATTTTTACACTAACATTAATGAAAAAAATATATCTTTAAACGTATAAGTGAAAAATATAGAAAGGACTTAATTTTAAATGAGTTCTTGCTAATTGACCAGTTTTACATATTCGGCACGACATATATATATATATATATATATATATATATATATATATATATATATATATAAATATATATATATATATATATATATATATATATATATATATATATATATATATATATATATATATGTAGTGCCGTATATGTAAAACTGGTCAATTAGCAAGAACTCATATAAAGTTCAGTCCTTTCTAAAATTTTCTCTTATACGTTTAAAGATATTTCTTTTCATTAATGTTGATGTAAAAATTTATAATTTTGCACCGAAAGGAACTTAGAAAACTTACCTAACCTTATTATAACAAGAACAATTTATTTTAGCCTAACCCAACTAAATATATTTTAGATTTGTTTACAATAATTTAATACTAAACAAACTCAGTGAAATATATTTTTTTCGTTAGGTTCAGAATGATTTTGGCGAAATTATTGCATACAAAAATTTTTCACTTGTCCTAATGGCAAGATACGTTGCTTTTTAAGCCAAATCGCAATTTTCTGTTTTTTCGGCACGTCATATATCTAACTATCTATCTATCTATTATAATATATATATTATTTTATATTATTATTATATATATAAAAATTATATATATATAATATATTAATATGTAAAATATATATATATATATATTATATTATATATATATTTATATATATTACATATATATATATATATATTATATATATATATATTTTAATATATATATAATATATTATAAATATATAAAATTATATATATATTATATATATATATATATATATAATTATAAAATTATATATACAAAATTTTTATATATATATATTATAATATATAATAATATATAATATATATATATATATATAAAAAATAAAATTATGTATATATTTATTATATTTTTTTAAATATATATATATATATGTATATAAAAATATAAAAATTATATATAATATATATATATAATAATAATAATAAATATATATATATACTCTTAATGCTACCATGCCCTTGCATAGGGCTGACCCTCCCATTGGGCGTAAACAGTACATCACATGTACATAACACTCTTCGGGACCACTGCCGTGTCCCCGTGTAAAAAGGGCCCGGGGCCCGGATCCTCCCGGTAAACCTAATGAGAAAAGACCTCTTTACCCAGGTAATCTGTTTGTGACTTGATAAAATCCCCATTGTGTGGGCGAAATTTCGAATGATTATGGGTCTTGAGGGTAAAAGTACCACCAAAGTCTTTGCCAAGAAAGGTAAAGGATATCCAGGGCCCCCCGGGAACTCACAAATATATGGATCGTGTTTCTGTAGCAGAGATAGGAAAGTGAGACAGGGGTTTGTTTCCCAGGACTGGTGTTTGGGGACATATCAACAGGTTTGGTAATACATGTCAGGTAATGGGAACAAGCCCCTTTTTCTGCCTCAGGCTGGGAGGAATGATATTGGGAAGGGAGGAAAAAGGGGCTGCTATTATGTCCAAGAAGCTACTATCTAAATTTGTGCTAAGGGGGGGGTCCCAGTCCCAACAAGAAAAGATGGAGGGGGATGAAAAGATGTTTGGGCGCCTCCCTGGAGGGACAGACAGTAAGTGTATAGCTATGCACGGAGAAGGGGGTTTTATACGACGACAGTCTTCATATATGCGCACATTTACGAGACTGAAGGACCAACACATCGACCGAGATGAGGGGCTGATTACCTCAAACCCCTTTTCATCTTTCCCCCATTCTTCCGTGTTGGTGGGAAACCCTTGGCAAGTTTAAATTTTTCCCCAAAAAAGATATCAAAAAGTTGCCAAATGATCATTAGCATACAGAAAATAATGGCGAAGTTGATCCCAAATCAAAAATCCTTTCTACGAGGATAGACTTACGGCACTGAGTTTACACTCTCTAGAAGGACGTAGAATTAGACGGGATATGGCAGAGGTGTATAAATGGAAGACAAGACATAATTAAATACAGGGAATATAAATAACGTGCAACAATGGGTTCAGATTGGAAAGGCTAGAAAGGATATAGGGAAGCACTGGTTTAGTATGTAGATGAGTGGAACAAACTCCCGAGTAGCGTTATTGAACTAAAACCTTGTGTAGCTCTAAAATAAGTTGGAAAGTACATGAGTAGGTGTGAGTTAGACCTGCCTAGCATAGGCCAGTAGGCCTACAGTTGTGCAAACCTTTCTTATGCGCTTATGTTCTGAAGAACATAAGAACGGAGAAGCACGGCAGTAGGATTAGTGGCGCATGATAACGAGTATAAATTATGTTAGGCAGATCTAACCACTACTACTGTCTCTAGTGATATATTCACCTATATTCCACTGAAGAAGCCTGTTGTGCAGTCGAAACGTTTCGGTAATAAAGATACCTAAATGTTTCACATGTTTCTATAGGACCTGGCTTCTCACTCCCTCCCTCCTTGACCTGTCCTTCCAGGCGCCCACCTGACATTTCCTACTCCACAGCACGGCGAGGCTGCAACTTTTTTTTACAAATTCATGTTCACCTTTCGTTGTGTATCTGCTGAAGAGGATCCCAGAAGGAAGGTCGAAATATAGAGATCAGTCAACCTCCTGTGTTTATGTCTCCGTCCGGGTTATTGCTAAGCAAGTGTCTGTTAATTAACAGGCTGATACTATATTGCTAGGACAATCAAGTGTTAAAACGCAGGGAAGAACAGTTACCTGAGCCTGACAGCTTGACAGCCAGCTCCTGGGTGAACAGCACGTTGCACAGCTTGCTCTGTCCGTAAGCTGCCATTACGGAGTACTTGTCGTGTTCGAAGTTCAACGAATCTGGGTCCAGCTTCTTGAGGTATGAATGGGCTGAGGACGTCACGTTGATCACCCGGCTAGGAGCACTTTTCTTCAGCAACCCTTGTTAAAGGAAGAGCAACAATACACAAGAACATTAAAAAGGAAGAACACTGCGGTAAGCCTACTGGCCCATACTAGGCAGGCCCCTCTCATACCCGGTAATATAAGAAAACAGCAGCACTGCCTCATGCTAATGAGTGAGACATGTGCATCATTCAGGTATGTTTACTGTAGTAATGTTTCGCCAGCCAGTGGCTTCATCGGTCCAATACAGAAGAATGACTCACGCGTCGATCTGGAGCTTTGAGACTCTCTGATCGCGGGCTCTAACCCCACACGTGGTATGGTTTTTTTTTTCATTACTGAAGAGGAACGGTGGAAGGTGAGAAGGAGTCTGAGGTAAACCGAATGATGCCCAACCACAGCCTATTGATACAGCTAACAAGATAAATGACTATTTTTTCAACCATCTGATCAAATCTCGCCAGTAAAATCCCAGGTACTAACGTCCGAGCATGTGATTATTTAGATGGGATTTTCCCAACCTACTTCTGTCTTGCATCAACCGAGCCCACAGAAGTCACTGCGATTATTAAGACACTTAAAAATATATCAGGAAATCTGGCTCAAGTTCCTCCATTATTGTACAAACGAGGAGCTCATGTTCTCTCACCTGCTGTTTCATTACTCTTTAACAAATCACTAGAAACCAGCACTTTCCCGGCACTACTCAAGACAGCCAGGGTCACACCTATACACAAAGGTGGTGACCCCACAGATGTAAACAACTACAGGCCAATTTCAAACTTACCATTGCTATCCAAAATCTTCGAGAAAGTTATACACAAGAGATTATATTCCTTTATAACAGCTCAAAACATCCTCAACCCCTGCCTATTTGGTTTCAGGAGAAACAAAAGCACAAACGACGCAATTGTAAAAATGCTAGACCTGCTTTACACTGCACTCGAAAAAAAAAAGAATTTCCATTAGGACTCTTTATCGATCTACGGAAAGCATTTGATAGAATAGACCACAGCATCCTACTCCACCGACTTGAGCATTATGGCATAGAAGGCCACGCACTTACATATTTCAAATCCTACCTAACAAACAGGCAGCAATACGTCTCTATTAAGGACACAACCTCATTAATAAGACCACTGAATACTGGAGTACCACAGGAAGTGTCCTTGGTCCCCTGCTGTTCTTCTTATACATCAGTGATCTACCTACTGTTTCACAACAACTTAAGCCTATTCTCATTGCTGATGATACAACATATGTCATCTCCCACCCTAATTTTGCCTCACTTAACACTATTGTTAACGAAGAACTAGTAAAAATATCGACCTGGATGACTGCTAATAAACTTACACTTGATACTGATACAACCTTCGACATTCTGTTTGGGAACAGAACAGTTGCTGGCCAGCTAAACGTAACGATTGACAACACTTCTATTGCTAGACATAATGAGGGCAAATTCCTGGGGCTGCACCTTCACAGCAAGCTGAAATTCAACTCCCATATCCAGCAAATAACAAAAAAAGTATCCAAAACAGTTGGGATCCTCTCCAAGATACGTTACTACGTACCACAATCAGCCCTACTCACACTGTACTATTCACTCATCTATCCCTACCTGACGTATGTTATTTGTGCCTGGGGATCAACAGCAGCGACCCACCTAAAACCGATAATAACCCAACAGAATGCCGCAGGAAGAATTTTCACGAACTCCAATGCAAGACAGCGCACACCCCCACTCTTCAAAGACCTAAACCTACTCACCGTACAGAACATTCACACCTACTATTGTGCAATCTACATCTACAGAACCATAAACTCTAATTTTAACTCGGCACTAAAACAATTCCTTAATAGTTGCAACAGAACCCTTAGACACGACACCAGACCCAAAATCTCTATGACATTCCCCGTGTCCGGCTAAACCTATTCAAAAATACGATGTACATAAAAGGGTCTAGAATCTGGAACTCGCTGCCTGAAAACTCTAGAACCCCAGACTCGACCACCATTTTCAAAACTATCGTTAAAAAAAATCTCATCTCCATAACACACCCCATCATCAGCTAACCAAATGAAAACCACCCAATTCTCTTTTTCCTGTCTTGAACACATCCAAAACAATATAGACTTATCGTTATCTGTAATTCCCCCATAATTTCCACCTTCACCCACCCTAATGACTTTAAACATACAATTCCTAATATAGCTATTGCCTATTAAATCTTATGTTAGTCTTATTAAACCTTAAGTTAATCTTAAGTTTGTCTAAGATACTCCTCCAGTATGACTTTAATACAAACAGTGTATCATGCCAGCAAATCGAATCCCATTACTAAATCTGCTATTTGTACTAATATTAAATGATTTGACTACCTAACTATTTTAAACCTAATTATGTATGTACCTAACTGAGAATGTATGTAATTAAGTACCTAATAATATGTTCAAATGTACTACTCAAGTATGACTTATATCAAAACAGCGCAAGAATTCGTATTAGTCTGTCCGAAGTGCCTAGGCACCATAGTGTCCAATTTAGTTATTTAAGTCTTGTAACATGTATACCACACATTATAAACTTTACAAGGAAATAAATATTTATATTTGTATCTGTAATTAGTCCCTCAACCTGATAATAATAATAATAATAATAATAATAATAATAATAATAATAATAATAATAATAATAATAATAATAATAATAATAATAATAATAATAATAATAATAATAACAACAACAACAACAACAACAACAATAATAATAATAATAATAATAATAATAATAATAATAATAATAATAATAATAATAATAATAATAATAATAATAATAATAATAATAATAATAATAATTATTATTATTATTATTATTATTATTATTATTATTATTATTATTATTATTATTATTAGAATGCATAAGACAAATAAAAAAAGAACTACGTAGGAAGAGGATTATGAACAAAGGTAACAATTGAAGCAGCGTTGCACCTTGCCATAACCCAAGTCAGCAACACAGCTAGCAACTTGGCAATAAAAGAACAATGCGATCACAGAACGAGTAGTTTCTCTCTAACCCGTTTATTCCTTCACTACTACTACGTACTATTTACACAGTAAGTTAGCAGAATAAAGATAAAGACAGAGGAAAGAGCCATTCGGAGAGAAGAAAAAGTGGACTGAACCAGAATAAGTAAGTCTGCCTCACAGCCAGGCAGGTTCTAACCTCACTGGTGGGTTGAACTGGACAACTGACACAGCAGAGGGGCCCCAGAACAGCTATACTCTGAATTACCAGTTGGCTGGTAGTGAGGGCATGCCAGTGGGTGTTTGAAGACCATAGAATAAATGGAATTTAGTCAGCACACACGCCACAGAGGAGGAGGGCCAGGAAGAGACGAGTAATGAAGAGGAGAAACCTGATGATTATTGGGAGAAAGAGAAGGAAATGAGACTAGATTGAGTGACTTACCAAAGAAGAGATTTGTGAGGAGGGGGACCTGCCTAGGAGGAGGACCCACATAGGAGGAAGACCCACCTAGGAGGAGGACATACCTAGGAGGAGGTTGGTGAGGAGGAAGTGACCGAAGTGGTTGGTCACCATGGTCAGTTCTAATCCATCTTCGGTCAGCTGCTTCTCCTTCGGTCCCAGGATACCAGCGTTGTTGATCTGTGAGAGAGAGAGAGAGAGAGAGAGAGAGAGAGAGAGAGAGAGAGAGAGAGAGAGAGAGAGAGAGAGAGAGAGAGAGAGAGAGAGAGAGAGAGAGAGTTAGAATAAGAATTGGAATATTAGATATTGTCGCCGACGTGGATAGTTTTAGTGTACCCATATCCACCCTATGGAGGGCAGCGCCAGAACATAGGGATACACAATAGGCCCAGGAACTAGGCCCAAAAAAGGGGTAACAAGAGTACATCTGGATTCAAATCTACAATTTATATTAACTATTACAAACAATTTTAGGAAATTTGCTAAATATATCTGGTTTTGCTTTCTTTAATACGATATCTTGACATATCACATACGTTATTAAACTGTCTTCCTGTGTATTCCTTAATGAGTAGATATTTAAGCACATAGTGTTGAAGACCATAAGACTGACCACATATTTTGTATTTAGCTTGATCTCCTGTGTGCCTCCCTCCCTCCCTCCATCCCTCTCTCCCTCCCTCCATCCCTCCATCCCTCTCTCCATCCCTTCTCTCTCTCTCCCTTCCTCCCTCCATCCAAGACCTACCAAGATATGGATGGCAGTCTCTGTCTGGAGTATTTGCTCGGCGAACTTCCTGACGGAGGTGAGGTCGGAGGTATCCAGATGTCGCACGACCACCTCCCCGACGCTACCTGGAGACTCTCTGATCTCCACTGACGATGCAACAGAAGGAAGAGTTACTTGTGATTGCTGACCACACTCAGATGTAACTGAATTCTGAGTATATGACAATATAACGTCTCTCTCTCACTCACCTGCCACTTTGCTCGCCTTTTCCAGGTTCCTACAAGCAAGGATCACCCTCGCTCCTCGACGCACCAGGTCCTTGGCTGTGTACTTCCCAATACCTGCAGACAGGTAGAACTTTAGCAGTAGCAGTTGTGCTCATGCTAACCTTATTGCTGTTTTGCTGAATAGGTAAAACTTGCGATTTTTGCTTAAAAAATAACGCTCTTCTTGCCGAATAAGGCAAGCGAAAATTTTGTGTATTTAATAATTTCTCAAAAATCATTCTGAATCTATATATATGTATATATAATATATATATATATATATATATATATATTATATATATATATATATATATATATATATATATATATATATATATATATATATAAATATATATATATATAATATATGTCGTGCCGAATAGGCAGAACTTGCGATCTTGGCTTAAATAGCAACGCTCATCTTGCCATATAAGACAAGCGAAAATTTGTGTATGCAATAATTTCGCCAAAATCATTCTGAACCTAACGAAAAAAATATATTTCACTGTGTTTGTTTAGTATTAAATTATTGTAAACAAATCTAAAATATATTTAGTTGGGTTAGACTAAAATAAATTGTTCTTGTTATAATAAGGTTAGGTAAGTTTTCTAAGATTCTTTGGTGCAAAATTATAAATTTTTACATCAACATTAATGAAAAAAATATATCTTTAAACGTATAAGAGAAAATTTCAGAAAGGACTTAATTTTAAATGAGTTCTTGCTAATTGACCAGTTTTACATATACGGCACGACATATATATATATATATATATATATATATATATATATATATATATATATATATGTCGTGCCGAATATGTAAAACTGGTCAATTAGCAAGAACTCATTTAAAATTAAGTCCTTTATAAAATTTTCTCTTATACGTTTAAAGATATATTTTTTCATTAATGTTAATGTTAAAATTTTTAATTTTCCCTCCCAAAGAATCTTAGAAAACTTACCTAACCTTATTATAACAAGAACAATTTATTTTAGCCTAACCCAACTAAATATATTTTAAATACGTTTACAATAATTTAATACTAAACAAACACAATCAAATATATATTTTTCGTTAGGTTCAGAATGATTTTGGCGAAATTATTGCATACACAAATTTTCACTTGTCCTATATGGCAAGATGAGCGTTGCTATTTAAGCCAAGATCGCAAGTTCTGCCTATTCGGCACGACATATATATATATATATATATATATATATATATATATAATATATAATATATATATATATATATATATATATATATATATATATATATACATATATATATATGTATATATATATATATATATATATATATATATATATATATATATACATATATATATATGTATATATATATATATATATATATATATATATATATATATATATATATATATATATATATATATATATATATATATATATATATATATATGTCGTGCCGAATAGGCAGAACTTGCGATCTTGGCTTAAATAGCAACGCTCATCTTGCCATATAGGACAAGTGAAAATTTGTGTATGCAATAATTTCGCCAAAATCATTCTCCAGCTTCTCCGAAGCCGGACGCGAGCCAAGTAAGCAGCAAGCATTTCCCCTCTGGATGGCCACGCTGAGGCGCTGGAACATGAAAGTGGCTGCCCTTGGGTCTCTGGTGGTGTCGATGAGTCAGGAACCCAATTTTTTAAGGAAGCATGTGACAATTTTTCCCCATGATCCCAAGGTCTCTGATCCCACTGGGACAAATTGATACTGTTGGCTTATGTCCCTGTACTTGCTGATCTTGTACTCCTCCCTGTGGTTAGCAGCTCCTCCCTGTCGCCCGACACTGTGATGGATGTAGGTGTCAGCCAATGTGGACACACAGGTACAGTTCCATGCTAAGAGCATGCCATTCTTCCAAGGATAGATGGTGATCCCATTGGGGCAGTTTGCTGGGTTGTGGGTATTGTTGGCTGCTAGTGATATGGGCTCCCTCTCGGCTGGGAATCGAGCTGTAGCAAGGGTTCTCTTTATGATGTCGTTGACCTCATTGTGTCTTGCTTGCCAGCCCTTGGTTTTGGAACAGGTAAGACCATGTAGACCATATTGGTCTGCTTGTGCTTCGCTGCAAATACACGTATATTCTGTGTGAATTGGGGCAGCAAGGCGCAGAGCCACTGCAATACGGAGGGTCTTTAAGTCGAGTCGCGTTCCCATTGCCGATATGGGAACTGTTTGGAGGAAGTACCCGGAGTGAGGTGCACTCACAGCCTGGAGATGGGCAGTCTCTCTATCTGATGGTGCAGCACTGAGCATGTTGGCAAGCACCTTTTCAGCAATCGGGCCATCCCAGCTTGACTGTTTGTAAGCCAGTGCTGCACTAGGGTTTGGTGCTGGAGCAGCAAGAGCCTCCCATTCGGTGATGACACTGGCATAGCTAGGGTCCTGTATTCCTGCTGAGTCACTCAGGTTATCAGGAAGAATTTGTCTTATCAACTCGTTTGATTCTATGGAAGAGGATAGGAAAGCTGGTAGAGCAATCTGGTAAGATCTGCGTACTCCCAGCCCCCCAAGCCTGACCGGAAGTGAGGCTTGCAACCACTGTCCATCTTCAGGGAAAGATTCAATACACTCTCTAGCATGGTCTTAAGGAGTGAGTCATATTCCTTGAGTTTCGGACTGCTGAAGGCTGGGGAGCATCTCAGAAAGTAGGTAAGTTTTGGGATTGACAGGCACCTGGTGAGTAGGTAGAAGGCATCGTGTGTGTGTCAATGTCTTTCATCCTGCTTTCCATCGTCCGGAGGTCTGAGACTATTTTTTCTAGGATCAGATCGATGGCATTGGACCCAAGAGGAGCACCAAGGAGAGTGCTATTGGCTGGATCAATGGCTCGTGCTCCTGGTAAAACGGCGCTAATATTCTGGATCATCTGTTGATTGGTAGAAACTATTTCACATTTGGTGGGGTTTAAAGAAAGGCTCAGGCTTTCTCCCATGTCTTTAATTTTTCTGATGTCCTCTACGAGAGATTCTGTTGCGCCAGCTAGGGTACCATCACCCAGGAACCAGATACTGACCTCACTGGAGAGCGCTTCTGTGATTTCCTTGATGACCAAACAGAATAGAAAGGGGGCGAGAGGGTCCCCCTGTTGCACGCCCTCACATGATTCAATTTCATGGTCCCCAAACAATAGTTTGGAAGTCACACTATAACACGATTCTATTAGGGGTAAAGGGAAGGGAAGTTTCTATAAACTGCTTGGAGAGCAGCATCCCTTCTGACTGAGTTGAAAGCGTTAGCAAAGTCCAATTTGACCAAGGCTTTTTCATCGGGCATGTTGTTGATATATACTCGTGCTGTGTGGGCAGCTGCTTCACAGCCCTGTTGAACGCCGAAGCCGAGCTGAGTTGGTTTCAGCATTGCAGCAGCCTCTTGACTCACCCTTCTTACTGCAGCCTTGGGGACTAGGCGCCGAAGGGTGTTGCCCACTGCAATGGGCCTGATTCCTCCATCATTTTTCCGGAGGCACACAATGAGGCACCAAAGAAAAGGGGTCTGATGACCTCTGGGACACTGCCAGCCAGGCACAGGTTGGAAAATTTGGTGAGTTCAGACATCAACCTCTCTGAAACATTACCAAGTGCTGGACTGAGTATTTGTTTTAAGTGTTGAGGCCTTAAACTGGTGAAACCTCCTGCTGATCCCTGTGGAAATGACATAGCAGCTTTATACACATCAGCATCCTGTAAGGTTAGATGTTCTTCGCCTGGTGCAATGTCAGGGAGGTCAATGTTGGTACTGGGGGCCCTGGGTGGATGTTTGTCCTTCAGAGCTTGCGCCGTGCTGACGTCCTAGGGAGCGATGGTATCCTCACTGGTTATAAGCCTCAGAGCTCCAATAGTATTACCCTCTTCTATTTGTTTGCTAATTTTGGCTCCGATTTTTGAGGCGTCAGGTGTCCTGTTGTTGGCATTTGCCCGGCGGGTGTTTGTCGCCCTAGGGGGGAGACGGACGAGGTTGTCATCCCTTGGGAATGCATTTAATGCCCTAATAACATGTGTTGCTAATGACTTGTTCATCCTTGGTGGGACAGCCAAACAGGCATTGCCAAAAAGCAGCAAGTTGTGCCAGGATTTGTTGTTTGAAGGAGCATCGTTGACTTTCTTCAGAAGGTCAGTGAATTTGCTAGCAGCTTGAGGGCGAGCTGCTTTGGGGATGTGTGTCAGAGTCCTGGTGGATGTTAATTTGATTGCAGATTTGAGGTCCTCTGTAGAGGTGAAGTCACGGTAGCTGTCAGCGCTGTTTGCTGGGAGGGGCTGTTGGTTGTCCTCATTTGGGGCTCTACTGGAGCCTAGACATCCATTGTGTGCACGGATGTTGCCAGTTGAGGGATTGAGTGCACATTCCCTGTAGCACACCCGGCAGATGCCTCGTGAACGATGGCTTTGGCTCTGTTGTGAAGATTCCTGGGAACCCGCGACTACTTGTGACATTGCTGATATCGTGGGGTGGGAGGGCGCCAGCTGTGGGGTGACGGGTGAAGGACAGCATGGATGCATGGGGGATGAGGGTGGGAGAGTAGGGAGCTGCAAAACTTGTAATTGGTGGGACACTAAACGGCAACACCCTTGGTCAGGAAGTCAGTGGGCCTAGGCAGGGATGAGGGGAGGGGAAAAGGGATGGGAGCGGAGGGAGTGACCCTGTGTGTTCGTTAAAGATGCACATCACTGACTAACTTTTGCTAATTGTTATACACTTACATATATATATATATATATATATATATATATATATATATAATATATATATATATATATATATATATTATATATATATATATATATATATATATATATATATATATATATATATATATATATATAGAATTGATGAGGGAAAAAAGGTGAGTGGTGCGTTGAGGTATATGTGGAGTCAAAAAACGTTATCTATGGAGGCAAAGAAGGGAATGTATGAAAGTATAGTAGTACCAACACTCTTATATGGGTGTGAAGCTTGGGTGGTAAATGCAGCAGCGGGGAGACGGTTGGAGGCAGTGGAGATGTCCTGTCTAAGGGCAATGTGTGGT